GCAATGCTGCGGAGGTCCGAAGAGGGCTTTGGATTCTCTTGGGACTGGAGTTAAGGACGGTTCGTGGCCGCCATGTGGGTGCTGGGAGTCGAACCTGGGTCCTCTGCAAGAGCAGTCAGTGCCCTTAACCGCTGAGCCATCTCTCCAACCCCAGCACACACGTAATTTTTGGAAAACGAAATTCTCGGAGTTGGGGACTTAGCTCAGTGGTAGAGCGCTTGCCTAGCAAGCGCAAGACCCTAGGTTCGGTCCTCAGCTCCGGAAAAAAAAAAAAAAAAAAAAAAAAAAAAGAAATTCTCATTAAAGCGGTGCAAGGGAATGTAATGACCCAGCAGTCAGCGGCGAAGGTGGGGTAAGCAGGGGTGAATGCAGCTGGTGATGCGGCTTTAAGGCAGAGGACGCCGGTGGAAAACAGACCCAAACTGCGCTCACCGTACAGGTTTCTTTTTCCTCCCCAAATTCACCCATTCCTATTTCTTGCTCATCTGTTTCCTCACCCTCGATACTCCAGGCGGCTCCCTCTCCATTTGCCCTTAGTCTCAACCTCTCCCTTCTCCCAGCATCTCCTCCTCCTCCTCTTCCTCCAGGTCTCCTCCCTCACGTGACCAGCGCGTAAATCACAGGACTCTGCCCACCCCAGTTGCAGACATGACGTGAGCTCTGCAGACACTGCGGCCGCGCATGCGCAGCGGTAGGTGCACCTGTGCCTTGGCTGGTCCCGGGCGCATCCTGTGCGTTCTTCCCCAACTGGGCGTGATGCTAAGATGGAACAGTGGACAGTGAACATGGCTAGGCCAAAATTTCCGCGGCGTCGGGTTCTCAGTGTGGATACTCTCATAACAAGCTGCCCACATGGCTAAACCCCTCCTTCTGCCAGGGCCTTGGGGCTGTGTCCTGGGCTCTGAAATTCTCCTCCTGACCTTAGGAAGTCCAGGTGCAAGTAGAGTCAGGGGTCTGCGCTTATCTTTATGACCTTGGCCAGGTGCCAGGTGTCTTGACCTCCTTTTGCTCTGAGAATCCAGTAAAATTTCTGGAGGGTCCTGGGTGCTATGCCAAATTCTGTCACAGCAGAATACTGGACATGGCAGCTCACCTATAATCCCAGAGCTCCAGAAGCTGAGGCAGGAAGACTGCTGCACATGAGGCCAACCTGGGCTTCCTATCCTGACTCTGTCTCAACCCCCCTCATCCTCTAAATATAGTGTGTGATGGCTGCCTGGAGAGATGGCTCAGCGGTTCAGAGCACTGACTGCTCTTGTAGAGGACCCAGGTTCGATTCCCAGCACTAACATGGTGGCCATGAACCATCCTTAACTCCAGTTCCAGGGGAATCCGGTGCCCTCTTCTGACCTCCGAGGCATTGCACAACATGGATGCACTCACATACATTCAGGCAATACACTCATACACATAAAATAAAAATAATAAATAAAATATATAAAATACCATGCATCTGGATTTTAGCCATCTTCAGGAAACAAGCCAGGTACACACACCTGCAGGAAACAATTTCTCTTTTTTTCCTTTCTTCTACTTAAAATGAGGAGTTGTTGTTTGCTGTGACCTTTGAAGAAGTCCCAGAGACGGCAGCCAGGTAGGTCTTCCGGGGCACTCTGCCTTCCAACCTGACCCTCAGCCTTTATGCCGTAGTCACACTTGAACCCCCTCTATTCCTGGAGGAGTCAAACTCCTTTTACCTGCTGGGTCTTTGTACCTACTGTGTGTTTGTCAGGACACTGTCCCATGCCTTCTTGCTAACCTTTTGTTTGGCTCAGGCTGCTTACTCTGATTACAGCCCAGACAGTTCTAGTTCCCTGGGTCAGGTGCCCTGACATCCACTTTCATAATCACCTCTTCTGCTTAAGCACTTTCCAGAATGTGCTTGACTCCTTGACACCAACCCCTGGAGGGCAAGGAATGGTCTTTTATTCACAGTGCTTGGCCAAGACATTGATGGCATTCAGTTAACCCTCGTTGATCCAGACTGAATGAGCAGCAGAGCAGCCTTTGTTCTCCCTTCATGATAAGGGATTTTTCAAATTTCTAATTCATAACATAGATGTATTAGCTGCGGAGTGTCTGTTGACATGTGCCAGCTGGTTAAGGAAGGAGCATGTGGTGTCACAACTGTACTGGGGTTCCCCCACATTCACACATTACCTCCTCCTCCAGATGTATGCAGAAGCTATCAATGTGTTCTGTGGCCAAGGCAGCTCTGAGATGTAAAGAGATGGCATATTGTATCTTCTATTAGGAAAAACTAAAGGTTCTTGGGGGGACAGATTGAGGTAGAGGCAAGATGATACCAGTGCTCAGCTCACCTTTTCCTTTACACAGCCCAGGATCCCAGTTCAGGATCCTAGCCCAGGGAATGATGCCATAGTGGGTAAGTCTTCCTACCTCAATTAACCTAATCAAGATACTCTGCCACAGGCCTGCTCAGAGGCTAACCTAATCAAGGTGCTGCCTCACAGGTGGTCTGCCTAGAGGCTTGCCTTCTAATTGATTCCAGATCCTGAGATTGAAATTTAACTCTAACCATGGTACTAGAACATGGTCAAATCTGCTCACCATGGGCCTGATGGTTTGAAGTAAGACCTTATGGTCTCTTGTCTAGGCTTGGCCACAGTTCACTTCATTAATTCTTCCTTAGGCTTCAGCTTCCTTCCTTGCTTTTCAGTATAAAATACTGGCTCAGAATTCAGACCATAAAATTAGATTGCTTGGGTCTGGGGGTGTAGCTCAGTTGGTAAATTGCTTGCCTAGTCTGTATGAAGCCCTGGGTTAGAACCCAGTACCACATAAACCACGTGGAGTGGTGCATGCCTGTAATTCTAGCATTTGTGTGGTGGAGGCAGGAGGTAAAGGGACTTGCTGCCAAGTCTGACAGCCTGAGTTCAGTCCTGGGTTCCACATGGTAGATAAGGAGAACCATCTCCTGAAAGTTGTCCTCTGATCTCCACACATGCTCTGTGGGACACGCACACCCCTACAAATAAATAAATAAATGTAATAAAAACATTTTAAAAGCAAAGCCATTCAGGGATATATTATCAAGTTTAAAGTCAATCTGAGCTACATGAGGCCCTGTCTCAAAAAAGTTATCACAAAACAAAAAGTAAAGTAAAATATTTGCTCAAGAAAAGAATTGGATTATTATTAGGTCACTACCAAACCATGTGTCCTTTCTGAATTTCAATTTCTTCATCTGTAAAATATCATTGAATTTCTAAATACTATGAAGAGAAGGTCCCAGGTTATAGGGCTGCTCAAACATTTAATGAGTGTCCTGTCTTTCATGACTTATTTTTGTTTTATTTTATTCATTTTCATTGTGTGTATGTGGTGCACTCCTGCCATGCATGTGTGGAGGTTAGAGGACCACATTGTGGGGTCAGTTCTCTCCTTCCATAGTTATGTGGGTTTCCAGGGATCAAACTCAGGCCATCAGGCTTGAACAGAAGTGCCTTTACCCACTAAGCCATACCTTACCAGCCCATTTGTTTTATTTTGGGGGGACTGTGGCCTAGAACTCACAGTCTCCTGCCTCAGCACCTGAGTACTGCAGTTACAGATGTGTGCTACCATATCTGGCTCTTGGTGATATTTGAAAATTATCATTGTGTGTGTGCAAGTGTATGATGCATGTGTGAGAGTGGATGCTCGTAAGTCATGGTGCTTATGTGAAGATCAGAGGACATTTAGGAGCTCAGTTCTCTCCTTCCATGATGGGCTTCTGAGATCTAACACAAGTCATCGGGTTTCTCCTTTGTGATTTTTACTTTTATTTATTATTTTTATTTTATGTGTATGAGTGTATTGCAGACACATATGTTAAGTGTGCCTGTGTTGTGCAGTGCCCAAAGAGGTCAGAAGAGGGCATGGGATCCCCTAGAACTGGAGTTATGAACATTTGTTAGCTGCCGTGTGGGTGCTGGGACTCAAACTTGGGTCCTCTACAAAAGCAGCCAGTGCTCTTAACCACTGAGCAATCTCTCCAGCCCCTCCTTTCTGATTTTTAATTGGCTCGATTTTGTTTTTCTTTGCAGTCAGAAGCAGCCCTGCTGCATTTTTTCCCCAATGCCAGGGATCAAACCCAAGGACCTATACATTATAGGCAAGTGCATTACCACTGAGATATAGCCCCAGCTCTTCTTCCACATTTCAAAAACAATGCTCCCCATTAACAAAGATAGTTCAGTGAAAACGGGTATGTGACCATTTTGGTAAATGTGGACACCAGGAAGGAGAATCCAGTCTAGAGTTGATTCTCTGACATTTTCTGCTTAGATTTGGATTTTAGAAATTTCTACTTAGATTTAGCTTGTCTGTGAAAGACTATACCTCCAATGTGGAGAATATCAGCTTGTACATAGTAATGTGAAAACAATAACTATTTATTGACGAATGACGGATACACAGCCTGAGAGCAAGTCTAGTGTCCCAGGTGTTTATTTTTGTATCCGAAAATGGAGATTAGAAACAGTAACGAATTATTGTACGGATTTAATGAGACGATGCTTAGAAGGTGCGTGGCACAGAGCTTGAGGCTCAGTCAATGATGAATAGACCACAAAGACAGAGAGACGGTATCCATGTACACAGTTACATTATTATGGCTGGAACTGCTAATAACAGATCTGGCCTCGGAGTTCCTTCTGTTGGCAAGGAAACATGGAAGGCTCCCAGAAAGCTGAAGGAGAGCATCACAGCGGAGCTTTCGGGAGATTCCGGTGGCCTGGGATTCCAGAGCAGGGATGCTAGAGGAAACTTTAGGACCCGGAGGCCCCGGCGTGCGCGGACGCGGCTAGTGCCCCAGCCGGGGCCCGCCCCCCCGCCCCGCCGCATCCTGGAGGGCGGGGCCTCGCGCCTGAGTCGCGCTGCGATTGGCGGAAGCGCGTGGGCGACGCCGACGGTAGACACGAGGCCCCGCCCCCTCCGACCCTGCCCCTCCCGCAAGCCCGGGTGGCGCCGCAGCCTCGCTTTGGCCTGAGTCGCGCCCCCGCGCCGAGTCCGCGCGTTAGTCGCTGTCGAGCGCGGCTGCGGTGCGGCGAGCTGCAGCCAGCGGGGAGGCGTGGGCCGCGGGGAGCTGCCGGTGTCGCGTGAGGAGCGGCGGAGCCCGGAGACTCGCTCGGCGCCATGGCCCCCATTGGCCTCAAGGCGGTGGTGGGAGAGAGTAAGTGGATCGGGGTCGTGCCGCGGCCCCGGGAGCCCCGTGCGACCCCTGGACGCTGCGCCCGGCCCCGGAGGCTGGGGCGGCTGGCGGTGCGCAGCCCTGGGGACCCGGTGAGGCTGGCGCCGGCCTCCCGGGAGTGGGGGGGGGGGTCCTCCGGCCTTTTGCGGCCTCAGGCTCCACTCCCCGCGAGCCTCTCCCGACCCTGCTTCCGTGGGCACCGCAGCCTTCCTCATCCCTGAAGCCTCCCCACCCGCTTCTCCATCACCCTCTCCATCCCTCCCCGTCGTCGCATCCCTGCTTCTTCACCCCAGGCCTCCCTGTCCTTAGCACCCCTCTCTCTCCGGTGTACCTTCATCCGCCTTCAACTCCATCACGCCATCTCTCCTCCCCCTTCATCCCATCCCATCCCATTTCCTCTCTCTCCCTCATCACCCTCCTCCCCCTCGTCTGTAGCCCCCCTCCGGACTACTCCCCTCTGCAGCATCACACCCCCCACGCACCCCAACTCTTCTCCACTCCCCTTCCTTGCCTTCTCCGGGGCTCCCTGATTCTACTCCCCCCCTTTTTTTTCCTGTCTCCAATCCCTCCCTCTTTCCCACCCTCCTTCCTGAATCGTGACGGGCGAAACCCAGGCCTATCCCTCCTCCCTCCCCTCCTCCCCCTCCTCCCCGTCCCCGGGAGCCCCGCGCTGTCCCCGGCTGCAGGGACCCACCTGGGAGTTGCTGGGCGCGCGCCACCTGGAGCCACTCCTGGCTACTGGGGAGGGAGGAGACGCCTGTTTTCCTAGGACCCTGCTCTTCTGGGCTCGGGCTGCTGGGCTCTCTCTGCCTCCCTCTCCCCGGGGCTGGACCTCCAGAGCGAGGTCTTATCGGGGTCTTGAACCCGTAGAAATCTCTCGGGAGATGGGGAGCGCTCCGGTGTGCAGCTGGGAGGAGTGGCTCTGCCCAGCGCCGCAGTCTGCAGTCTCGGCCTCGGGCTCTGCTGCAGGGAGGGTTTGGTGGTTTATGGGTTTGCATGCAAAGGCACAGCTGGAATAGTCGTTTTAAAAGAATATATTGGATGGTGGTGAGCCATCGGCTGCCACCGAGCGAGGGCTGATCTGATGGTGGGTATTTGAAAAGAGATTGGGTGATCTAGGTAGAAAAATAGCGCCTCTTCAGTATTTCGGCGTTTCTTTATAACGAAACAGTGCTCTAGCGCTGCCGTGGCTACCTCTTTTTAGATTAAGAATTAAAACTGGGCTTTTCCCTGTAGGAGAGAATAAAGGAAAAATAATTAAAATGGTGGAAATTTGCAGTTTCCTTTTCAGTGAGCTTCTCCTATTACAGCTCTCTCTGTCTCTCTCTTCCCCTCTCCCTCTCCCTCTCTCCCCTCATCAGATGCACACCATAACTACTGAGCAACATGACTGTTTTTCCTCTTCCATTGATTGGGATGTGGGAACTATTCTTTGGGTGGAATCTAGCTGTGTGCAACCTTCACTGACCTCTTACATCAGAAGAAATTATTATAAAAATGGAACCCCAAATGGATGTTTTAAAAATGCTCAGGCATGTTAGAGCCTGCTGTAAAGGTTACCTGAACAGTTTTCTGAGGGAATCAGTGTTTAAGGCTGGGAGAATCTGTAGGAATTCTGTAATGTCAACATCCTCATTTTACTCCTGGGAAAGAAATAGAGGCTTGGAGCAGTTAAATGACTTGCTGAAATCAGTGTTAATTTAAAAAATGTAAAACCTGGTGTCCATTTCCTTACAGTTTTAGTGAAAAATAGTTTTCTTCCTTTCTACACTTCTGAGATAAAATAACCTGTTGCATAAATCAGCTTTATTTGGGGGTTGGGGGGTTGGGCTGCTGGCCTGGAACTCACTATGTTGCCCAGGCTGGCTTTGAGTGTGTGTTAATCCTCCTGCCTCACCCTCCCAAAGTGCTGGAATTACAAACATGAACCACTACATCTAGCCTACTTATTGATATATTTATTTATTTATTTTTGAGATTCAGTCTCACTGTGTAAGCCTGCCTTGCCTGGTACTCACTATGTAGCTTGGACTGACTTTTAATTCATGGTGATCCTTCTGCCTCAACCTCCCAAGTGCTGGGGTTACAGGCTTTACCACCATACCCAACTCAGAATCAAGTTCTTACATCCTTTTGCCAGAACCCTTCTTATGCAGGTGGCACCATGCCCACCTTGCCTTTTTTAGAAGCAAGCCTCAAAAAAAAAAAAAAAAAGTATGCAATATGGCCAAAATTTCTTTTGAAACAAAGAAACCATGGCATATAAAAATAAACTCAGGGTTTTATTTTGTTTTTAATCAGTGAATGTGTGAACAGGAGTCTATTTCTGTAGCAATTGAGTTAGGCATGTGTTTCAGAATACATCATTGCGGCCTCAGTTTCATTGCACCTCCTAATTTTAGATGGGGCTTCTACTTTGCCGTTTTTTCTCCAAAAAATAAGAGTAAAATTAAGATACTTTTTTTCTTTTCTGTTTTTCTGAGGCAGTCTAATATGGCCTAGGTGGGCCTCAAGCTGGCTCAGGCTGACAATAAGCTTGAAGTCCTGATCTTCCAGCTTTGCCTCTGAGGTTGGGATTATATCATGGGCCTGCGTGCCTTTACCACCCATTTTAGACAGGCCTGGGGTTCCAGCCCAGGGCCTCTGAGGTGCTAGGTTGGCACTCTAACCACTGAGATACACCTGCAGCTAAAGATACTTTTTTAAAAATATGCTTTTTGTATTTATTATTTTTATTTATGTGTATGAGTCTGCATGTATGTGAGTGCACCCGTGTTGTGCAGTGCTGCGGAGGTCAGAAGAGGGTTTCAGATTCCCCTGGAACTGGAGTTGAGGATGGTTTGTAGCCGTCGTATGGGTGCTGGGAATCGAACCCGGGTCCTCTCCAAGAGCAGTCAGTGCTCTTAACCGCTGAGCCATCTCTCCAGCCCCTATTTATTTTATGTATCTATTTTGCCTGCATGTATGTAAGTGTACCACATGTGTTCAATGCCTGAGGGTGCCAGAAGAGGGCATCATTCCCTGGGACTGGATTTAGGGACAGTTGTTAGCTGCCATGTGGGTGCTGGAAACTGAACCTAGGTCCTCTGCATGAGCCATCCCTTTGGCCTTAAAGACACTTTTTAAGCCACTGTGCATCAGTTTAAATGTCACCTTCATAGCCTGGTCCTCTCAGTCTAAATTAACATCCCATAGGCATTATCAGATTTTTTCAGGATAAATGAAAAGTATCTTGTTCAGGTCAGGTGTTTTTTTTTGGGCTGGGGAAGAGGTCTGAATGTTAGATACATTTGAATGTTAGTTAGAGAACAGATCTTTATCTGATTTATCTGATGAAGAGTTCTGGGCCCCCAAATAGCATGTGGCTCATACTAGGCAGTTATAAATATTTGGGGGTTTTTTTTTTTTGGTCTTTTTTCGAGACCCTCCTTCCTGTAGCCCCAACTGGCCTGGAACTTACTATGTAGATCAGGCTGGAGTTACAGGCAATTGTGAGTAGCTGAGTATGGGTGCTAGGAGCTAAACAACAGTTCTGTGGAAGAGCAACAAGTGTTCTTAACCACTGAGCCATCTCTCTAGCCGCCTGGACCATGTTTTTCATGGACACTGTGCAGTGGGTAAAATTCTTGAAGTGCAAATGAATTTGAAGATGAAAGACTCACACCGAACATGGGCAGGACTGAGCATGGTGGTACATACCTGTAAGAAGGCTAAGGCAGGAAGATGTGGCTTTTGAGGGTATCCTGGGCTATATAGCAAGACTGTATCAAAAGAACCAAATATCAAACAACCACTCCCCACAAAACAAAACACGAACAAACTTAAACTGAGTCCCAACTTCTGTTTCAGTTCTATTCATAAAAGAATTATGTGTGTGCAGCCGGGCGTGGTGGCGCACGCCTTTAATTCCAGCACTTGGGAGGCAGAGGCAGGCAGATCTCTGTGAGTTCAAGGCCAGCCTGGTCTACATAGTGAGTTCCAGGACAGCTACAGGGCTACAGGGAGACCTTGTCTCAAAAAGACAAAAAAAAAAAACATTATGTGTGTGTTGTATGTGTGTGTTTCTGTGTCTCTGTATGTGCTTATATGTGTCAGTTCCTGTGGAGGCCAGAGAGGGCATCGGATTCCTGGAACTGGAGTTACAGGCAGTAGTGAGCCACCCAATGTGAGTGCTGGGACTCGAACCCAGGTCCTCTGCAAGAGCAGCCAGTGCTCTTAACCACTGAGCCATCTCTCTAGCCCCTCTAGTCATTTTTTTTTACTTTTTTTTTTCTGAGACAGTGTCTCACATTGTAGCCCAGGCAGGCCTGGAACTCATAGCAATCCTCCTGCCTCAGCTTCCCCAGTGCAGGAGTTAGAAGTGTGGGCTACCCAGGCCCAATTTTTCATTCCTCAACTTTTGACTCATTTTTTTTTCCTCTCTATAGGGTGTGTTTTTCTTTCTTCGACCTTAGAAAGAGGTTATAAGAGAAAGGAAACATTTTTTTCTTAACGGCATCCTTGTATGTTATATATGATGTCTTAGTTATGTAAACCCAGTGATATCCAGGGTTCTGTTAGTATGTTACAAAGACACAAACATCCTAAGATGGATTGTTTGGCAATAGCTAGGAAATAGCAAGAAAAGCAGTTTCTCCTCGTGTTCTTCTGTAATTATAGGAAGGAACACTTTCTTTTGCAGTTTTAGTCTAAACATTTAGTTTTAGTTTTAAATGTCTCCCTTTTGGATGGAGCGGTGATTCATAGGCTTAAGTTGAGAGGCGTTTAGATGGGAGCGATCTTCATTCATATGCTTTTTCTTTCTTTTGACGTTTTTGAGATAGGATCTCATGTAATTCATACTCTAAAATAGAGTATGTAGTGAGGGATAGTCTTGAACTCCTGATCCTCCTGCCTCTACTTCTCGAGTGCTGAGATTGCAGATGTGCCCCACCATGCCTGCCTCAGTCTTCACAAGATGTGAAAGTAGAGGGGACCAGTTG